TTCGAAACATACAAATATTTCCTAAATTTCGGAACGTAAACATATGATAATTAATTAGTTAAGGTTACAAATTTAGGCAGATAAAAAGAAGGGGGGGGGGGGGGGTCAATGCATTTGAATGGGGACATATGGTTAAAACCACCCCTTTTATCCTGGGTTGAGAACCCTCTTTTTAAAAATGGCTGGAATCGCCACTCTTTAAAACGTAGCAATTTATAAATTATTTATATTAAGTAGAATTATAAAATCGATGAGTTTTATAATTTGACAACACTCATTGATATTGGAAATACTATACTACAATTAATAGTGTTTAGTAAAACTGTCGACCAATCAACACAGAAAGCGAGATATCTAAAATTTGTATACCCTTATAGATTTTCATTATCATACATCAATTTTAAATGCAATTCCAAATAAAATGGCTTTGAGAACCGTGTATTAAGCGCTTATCGTTCATTCGTCAATGAATCATTCACCGTGCGTGTATCGTGCGTGTATCGTGTGTTCATCATTCATCGTGCATCGTGCGTGTATCGTGCGTTCATCATTCATCATTCATTTTTCGTTAATCCTCCGTGTAACGCTCATCGCTTATCGTGCGTGTATCGTGTATCGTGCATTCAACGTGCGTGTATCGTGCATTCACAGTGCGTGTATCGTGCGTGCGTGTATCGTGCGTGTGGTCAGTTTGAATTTTAGAAGGTCTGTAATACATGTTAGTGCTGTCTGTATGTCTGTATGTTTGTGTTGTATATGTATCTGGTGTCATTACATGTATGTTCTGTTTTATAATATCAGTAGGTTAGAGAGCTCTTAAGAGCTCATGTTCCTTGTTATTATGTATATATACAATCCGACTTTAAATAAAGATTACTTTACTTAACTTTACTTTACTGCTTACATTTTTTTATATATAGAAATAAAAGTAAATACCACAAAATAGCCTCCAAAATAAAATTAGTTAGCTTAGCGTAAGCAGGACGCACAAAACATCAGTTGTAAAGGGACAATAAATCAAAAGATTTTTTTAAATTAATTTTATTTACAGATAGATGAGGATGAGGTCAAACTGGCTATAAGTTTTGCTATCCTACATTGATTTTTCTGGTTAAAGAAATACATATTGAAGTTCGATCCTAATCATATATAGAGGAGGTCTGGATGGGGTTTACAGAACAAAAAATATAGGGCAAACAGTGTAGAATAAATAGCTTAAAAATTAAAGAAAAATGCGCTAAAAACAAGTTAAGAATAGGAAATTAGTACATGTAATTGGGTGGTAAAATATGAAGAAAAGAGAAAAATAGGACAAATTAGTATACCTATTACTGGTCTATTGTATGTATTGTTACAATGTAATTTGTTCTCGTCTTGAACATGTGTAAACTATTTGCCACTGGACATTCAGCAACTATACAAACAAGTAAGGAAACACCCTTCATGATAGTATATGTGTATACCATTTGATTTTTAGGGGGGGGGGGGGCTAGAACACAACTTAATGTATCTCGTCAAGTATCATGTTTAAATACATCAACACAACTTAAAGTACCTTGTCAAGTATCATAAATAAACATATCACAGTTGAGTGCATATGCTCCTTGTTAAATGCCTTAATGTGACTCATGATTAAACACATCAACACAACTTAAGGTATATACCTTGTCAAGTATCATGATTAAACACATCAACACAATTTAAGGTAACGTTCCTTGTAAAGTATCATGATTAAACAAATCAACACAACTTAAGGTATCTTGTAAAGTATCATGATTTAACACATCAACACAACTTAAGGTATCTCGTCAGGTATCATGATTAAACACATCAACACAACTTAAGGTATATCGTCAAGTATCATGATTAAACACATCAACACAACTTAAGGTATATCGTCAAGTATCCCATGATTAAACACATCAACACAACTTAAGATACCTTGTCAAGTATCATGATTAAACACATCAACATCATTTTGTTATTTGAATATATGATTTTATTATTAAATAAACTGCTTCGCTGAGCGCAGCTGGATACGCCCGCAGAGGTCCAACCCTGAACAGTTGGGGCAAAAATGGACACAATATTCAAGCTTGATACAGGTCTGAATTTTGATTGTAATTAAATATTTGACATATTATAGGTTTCTGAATAAATGCAGTCAAAGAGCTTGAAATTGATTATATGAATTGAATTTATATTCAATTAAAGATTTCTTGCTTGTAATACTTAGTAAATCTGTTGTCAGACTATAAACAAATAAAGTTAAATTTCTTCTCAATGTCATATTTGAAATTTATGAAAATCAATAGGGAGATTACATCAATAGCTATAAACAATTCACCAAAGTTTCATGAGAACTGCTGAAAGCATTTTTGAGTTATTGTCCAAAAACTGGAAAATCCCCCCTTTTAATGAATAAAACCCCATAACTCAGAAATTAAAAATCTAAAATTTATAAAATTCTAAAGGGAGCTTGCATCAACAGATATAAACAATTCACCAAAGTTTCATGAGAACTGCTGAAGCATTTTTTAGTTATTGTCCGAAAACTGGAGAATCCCCCTTTTTTATGAATAAAACCCTGCAATTCGGAAACGTAAAATCTAAAGTTTATAAAAATCGAAAGGTAGCTCATGTCAATAGATATAAACAATTCACCAAAATGTCTTGCAAGTTGGTGAAAGCATTCTTGAGTTATTGTCCGAAAACTGGAAAATCCCCCTTCTTTCATGAATAAAACCCCAAAACTCGGAAACGGTAAATCTGAAATTTATAAAAAAAACGAAAGGGAGCTCACATCAATAGATATAAACAATTCACCAAAGTTTCATGCATATTGGTTAGAGCGTTTTTGAGTTAATGTCCGACATGTTGACGACGGACGGACGGACAGACGGACAACGGTATACCATAATACGTCCCGTAAACGAGCGTATAAAAATGCATGACAGCATGGACTGGAAAGGATCCAATTAATCAAAGAAATAACATATCATTATTTGAAATTTCATATAACATTGAAGTGTTGTTATATGACTCTATACATAACCAATTTGAAAGTCTTTCCCAAATAACATATCTGTATATATAACGGTTAAACACCTGAGTGTTTCTGAAATGTAAGACTCTAAAAAAAACGTCTACTTCATACATCCAATGTCGAAGAGTTTCTTTATTTTTTTATGTGTATGGGTCATTATTTTAAATAATGTTTAGCCCATGATTAAAACCTAACGGTATATGTTCTCATGTGTCTGTCAGTTTTCATTATTATAGAATCTCAAACGAAATACAACACATTCATAAGGTCTTATAACTATTTCCAGTATGTGTTCTCACGTGTAACTGTGTCTCTTGTAAAATACATGTCTTCTACCACCAACTTTCAGCACATACATCATATTTATGTATTTATCAAATTTGTTGTGTATGTGTTCTCTGTTAGTCCCTTCTTCTAATATTTTTTTAGCACAACTAGAGTCCCTTACAAGCATGTACCGCTTCAACAAAAGCTACTTAAAATCATCATCAAAGGGGGATAAGTGACCGTATAACTCTATTTCAGGGATGTTGACGTATTTTTAGATCTTATCCTAGTGATAACTTTTCCCTTTTATTAAAGTTTATATATCTATAACAGTTTTTAAGATAATAGACAAAATGGCAAAACATTCGAAAATAAAGTTTTTAAAGGTGCAATAACTCCAATAAGGTGCCGACTGAAGAAAAAAAAAATCGTCGTTTAAGGGCAATAATTCCTATAAGAGGCCGTCTGGCAGTTTTAATATCAATAGACATAATGCACTAGTAGATCTCTTCATTTTAAACAATTTTTCGACTTCATATACATGTAGCGCTTTTCAAGATAATCTTCAAAAATTGCACTTTTATACCTTTATGTTTTACTTTTAGAAATGTCAGCCATCATTCATGTTTGTCGTCAGGCAGTGTTATCAGACACATAGTTGCAAAGATTAGAATACTGTAGTACTATACAAATCCGTGATTTTTGTAAGGTATATACCCCATTGACGATTGGGGCTAAGTTTGGTTAAATTTGTCCCAGCAGTTTCAATGGGGATGGATTTAGTAAAAGTTAACTGACAACGGACGAAACCGATAGACGACGAACTCCAAGTGATTAAAAAATAACGCCTTCGCGCCAGGTGAGCCAAATATTAAATTAATGCTGGTTTTGACCAGTATGCCTTCTCATGTGTCTATGTAAATTATCAAGCTGAGTAAACCCTTTAACACATACGTTACAACTATTAGGTTTATCGGCTGTATGTGTTCTCATGTGTCTATGTAAATTACCCAGCTGACTGAACCTTAACCACATACATCACAGTCATGAGGTTTATAACGTGTATGTGTTCTCATGTGTCTATGTAAATTACCAAGCTGACTAATATGCCACAGCTATGAGGTTTATCACCTGTATGTGTTGTCATATATCTATGTAAATTACTAAGATCACTAAACCCTTAACCACATGCATCACAGTCATGAGGTTTATCACCTGTATGAATTGTCATATGTCTTTGTAAATTACCAAGCTGACTAAACCCTTTACCACATACGTCACGGCTATGAGGTTTATCACCTGTATGTGTTCTCATATGTCTTTGTAAATCACAAAGCTGACTAAACCCTTTGCCACATTCATCACAGTCATGGGGTTTATCACCTGTGTGTGTTCTCATATGTCTTTGTAAATTACTAAGCACACTAAATCTTTTACCACATACACCACAGTCATGGGGTTTATCACCTGTATGTGTTTTCATATGTCTCTGTAAAGTAAAATGCTGACTAAACCCTTTACCACATACATCACATTCATGGGGTTTATCACCTGTATGTATCATCATGTGTCTCTGTAAAGTAGCAAGCAGACTAAACGCTTTACCACATAAATCACAGTCATGGGGTTTATCACCTGTATGTGTTTTCATGTGTCTCTGTAAAGTAGCATGATGACTAAACCCTTTATCACATAAATCACAGTAACCGTTATGAGGTTTATCGCCTGTATGTATTCTCATGTGACTTTGTAAATGACCAAGCAGACTAAACCGTTTACCACATACATCACAAACATAAGGTTTATCGCCTGTATGTATTCTCATGTGACTTTGTAAATGACCAATCATGAAGTTTGTTACCGGTATGTGTACTCATGTGACTTTGTAAATGATCAAGCTGACTGAACCGTTTACCACATACATCACAATTATAAGGTTTATCGCTTGTATGTGTTATCATGTGTCTCTTCAAACCACCATGCTGACTAAATCCTTTACCACATTCATCACAGTCATGAGATTTATCCCCTGTATGTGTTTTCATGTGTCTCTGTAAATAACCAAGGCTACTAAACCCTTTACCACATACATCACAGTCATAAGGTTGATCACTTGTATGTGTTCTCATATGTCTCTGTAAATTACTATGCTGAATATACCTTTTACCACATAAATCACAGTTATGAGGTTTATCTCCTGTATGTTTTCTCATGTGTTTCGTTAGGAAACTACCTCGGCAAAATTCTCTACCATCAATATCACATTTATGAGGGTTTTCATCAATATGTGTTCTTGTATGTCTCTTTAAGTCACTACTTTGACTAAATTCTCTAGCACACTCATCACATTCAGAAACTTTATTGCCAGCCTCTGCTATTATGCTAGCACAATCATCACATTCGGAAACTTTATTGCTAGCCTCTGCTATTACGCTAGCACAATCATCACAATCGGAAACTTTATTGCCAGCCTCTTCTATTATGCTAGCACAATCATCACAATCGGAAACTTTATTGCCAGCCTCTGCTATTATGCTGGCACACTCATCAAATTCAGATACTGTATTGCCAGCCTCTGCTATTATGCGTCTCTATAGAGTACCATTTACTGCGACTTAATCGTCTACCCCATACATCCTATTACTAGTTGGGGTTCTTGTAAGACTCTGTAAAATTAATAACATAAAAACAAAATTAAGACTTAAACCTGTTTAATACTTATACAATATCTATGTTGTACATTCTGCTTTATTGCAAAAAAATCAACAATCAAACTATCTCAAAGTTCTGTTTTCTATCAAAAGCTATACGAGCAATAATCTCCAGCATATTTTTCTGTTCATTGGTGTTTTAATTTGGTTCGTTCTCTTCTTACATATAATTAGAAAATTTGGTATATGGACGAGTACAGATCATACTTAACATTATACTAAATGCAATTGCTAAACACAGAACAAACATTTTCGTTTGGATATACTAAAGTTTATAGAAAAAACTAATATACATATAATATATTAAAGAGTCCGACCTCAATTAAATCAAAATAAGTTTTGTAGATATGCACTTGGAACAAACAAAAAAAAGAGCAGGAAATGTCCTTCTAGATCTGAATATGGAGGAAGATTCCTACATATTTTTTAATTGTCCCATAACCTCTTTTGTATAAAGATCTACTTTAGAGTGAACACTCGTCTGAAAGTTGTATATTCTCTTTAAAAGATCCTTCGTGATCAGTCTATAAACTCATGGTATTCATATGTAAATCATATTAGGTTCGACAATAATACTAGCAAACACATAGATTAATCTAAATACAAATACAGACATGACAGAGTCTGCTAAAATCTATGTAGTAAAACATTTTATAATGATGAATTTGAGCAAAGATAAAAAAAAAAAAGAATGAAAACAAAATGCATGTATCATATCTTGATCAAAATGGTAAACTTAATATTGTAGAGGGTTCCACCCTGTGTCTCTCCTGCGATTGCTGCTGTCAGTGTAAAAGTGTAATATTGACTTTAAAAGTTAGTCCATTTATCTGGTGAATACAAAATTTGAAAAAGAAACACTCAAACATTTTCTTTAGATGCTATATCTTGGTCTTAAAGATTAGCTATAACCGTAACGATCCATACGGGTTAACAAATGTATCATATCAAAAAATATAACCCCAGACAATCTGTAAATGTTTACCGTGAAAACTAATCCCATCTATCCGAAAAATACGGAAAAATGAAAATAGATTTCAAAAGTTTGCTTCAGATATTTATAATTATCTCCTAAGCATTAAAAACCTTCTGCAAAAGTTTCGTACAATTCTATTAAGGTTTGACATTAAGACAAACTGTTAACCTCAGACTGTATCATGGCTACTTGTTAACTAAAAAAAAAAATTTCTCTAGTTATCTGTAAAATATGGAAAAATAGAATTAAATATTTTCAAAAAATTGCTCTGGGTAGTTTATTTTGGTCAACAAGCTTCCCTCCAAATTTCATAAAATTCCTGGAAGGTTTGACAAAGTTATTGATGGCTGAAGAAATTTAACCTCAGACAGAATCTGACTTTTAATTGTAAAAAAAAGTCCATTTACTAGGTATCATTTAAATACGAAAAAATGAAAACAAACATTTTTAATTTTTTTCCATGGATTCTGTATTTTATTCACTGAGAAGCGGCTCGTGAAATTTAACAGTCCCTCGACTGGTTTCTTTCCAAATACCCCTCCATAACCTGATATATCTTTTCATAATTACACCGTATGTAAGAATGCTGGATTTTGATTGGTTGGTAGCCAGTGTATTTTTCGCATAATTATTCTAACCTTTTTTTCCCTCATGCCTGTTTTTCACCACTCCCGGTAAATATGCCTCAAATTCCCCTCTTTGCCGTGGTATTTGCTATTTTGGATATTCATTTTTACCCTCGCGAGGCTCTTCCCGTTAAAATTATTCGGAACCTTTCTCACCTTATCCCGATCATTAAGGCAACATGATTTGATTGATAGAGGTAATCCAAAAACTGTAAAAAAAAATCTTGGCTGGTATTTTTCGCAAATACCCCTCCATAACATTATATATAGCAAACAAGCGTCTGTTCAAATTTCACAAATTCCATGAAGGTTTGATAAAGTTAGGGAGCTACCATTTGATTTTAAGCGGGGTGGCTAGGATGAAAAAGCTTGTCCTGCATTTTTACTATAGACATAATTGAAATCTCTGTCCTGTATTTTGTATTTTTGACTCTATTCGGTCATGCCTTTTTTGTTTACTCAAAACTCCAGTCCTGCTTATTTTTTTCAAATGTCATCCTAGCCCCCCCCCCCCCCCCCCCCCCTCTTAACAAATCAAATGGTGGCTCCCTTGCTCTTATTTATGTCTTAAAAAGCTTCAACCACAGACTGAACATATTTAAATGATGACGCCGCCGAGACCAACGCCGGAATCGAGGATCGGTATGGCTCGCTTTCGCGGCAAACATGTCTCAAGCTCGACAAAAATTGATATAAAGAATATTATTTGAATTATGTGACAAAGGGGCTTCTAGTGCTTAATTGGTTCCTTATCATCTAATGCAGCTACAGGTCATGATTTATTTGTAAAATCATTTAAAAAAAACTATTAAGTCGTGAAGACATCAATGACGGGAACAACACACTCACGTTTTATCATTTTTTTAAAAAGTAAAAGCCAAAGAATAACAATGGACAATGTCAGAATTACATTATGAGGTATTCCTTCATTGGAGGACAATTCGGTTTACAGTAACGATAATAATTATGACTCCTACCTGCCTAATATATCTATCTCTATATGATCTGTATATGTTCTATATTCACAACCAATAGTTAGACTGTTTCAATATAGATTACTGAAAACAGACAATACTCGATGATATGACAAATTTGTAGCAATACTTGAATCAAAATGACATTGCATAGCCTTAAGCCATAAGTGATATTCACATTAATTTATTTAAAAGATCAAATAGTCCATTGTCGCAAATGATCATTCTGTAGCACATCCAGATATAGGTACCCCGAAGCAACAAAACAATAGTAAATTAACACATCTTTGAAGCTACTTCATATTTCACATCTAAAAGAATTGATAGCACTGATGTGTCCACTGGTTAATTTATGTGATATGTTTAAATAATCAATTAAGCTACTTAATTTATATTTCATATCAGTGAGTATTGTCGCAATGATTCTATTCCACGTACATAATCAAAGAGCTGATTGCTCTGAGGTGGAAGAAAATGCATAAAAGGTAACTTGAATTACCATAAAAGCAGCCCCCACCAACCCAAACCCAGCCTGCTTTGTCCCATTATTGCTTTCGACGTATTTTTTTCTTCCAAAAATAATAATACAGTACGCATAACACAACCAAAACTCACTATCCTTAACATAAAAATCTGCAGATACTGTTGATTCAAATTAAATTTTCTATAACTAAATTCCATACATTAGTCTCAGCATGGTCAACTTGATGCAATGCAATTTCGCCAAGCAATTATAACAGTAATTGATTTGGTTTCACTTGATTCTGTCAAAGGCAGATAGTTAACTTTAAAAAAAATGGCCACCAAGATTTTAGTCAAGTTTGCTTAAACTAGGGTTTTCATTATAAACATATATTGAAAAATTCTAAATATATCCAATGCAGATATGTGTCAGGCCAAGGATTGGGTTTTGGGCACTCATTAGCATTTCAAACCCGTTCATTTTCTGTAAGTGCTCGACCCATATCATATTTGTTTTTCATCTAATATTTTTACACAAACGTATGAGTGTAGGAATGGCTTTTTCCGTCAGGAGTCACACAGCCCTTTTCTGCAATTTTTCATGAAGATAAAACTATTGACATCAACGAATTACTGGTTCCGTACTCAAGCCTCGATGACGAATAACGGTAAAGAGCTGGACTACTAGTATTCAGTTGTTAAATCCCGTTTTTGATCACTTCTAAAACTTTGAAACGTAAGGCAATAAAGGCAATCATTGGGGACATTCCGACAATGACCGACATGAAAACTACGTACTTTCGAAATGGAATCCGTCAACTGACATTAGTTTGTTCATTGATGTTTCTGTCAACTGACGGTGCATCATTTGATGTGTAAAACACCAGCAGATTCACGTGTGCGCTTGACTCTTTATTATCGCAATAACATACTAAATTATTCTAATTTTCGTTTTTAAAAACACATGTTGTCTAAAACTGGAATATGACTTAATAGATTGCATTAAAGATCTGAACGCAGACGAACAACTAAATCCGTGTATTTTTTCAAGCATCATTGATTTGAAGTCGTTCTCTCCACGGAGATAATTGACTTTAACTTAAGATGGATTGTATGAATATATGACAATTCTGTTTATCATTATTTTGAAACTTTCAAATGCACAATTAAATTTCCCATTTGTGCACATGCGCAGATACGTAACCAACGGATTTAGATTAACCCGAATAATCCAGTTGTTTTATTCCGATAATTCCAATTATTAATCTACCAAAGACAATTATTACAACAATCAGTGAGAATAATTATCATGACCTATTAATGCTCCAAAACAAGCCATCAACTTTTAATTTTTTTTTATGTGTTTTTATGAATTTCGAGAATTTATACCATATAAATTTCTGAATAAGTTTATTAAACTTTAATACCCATATTATTATTATTATTATTTAATAAATGCAAGGACGTATAAAACGTCCTTGATAAAAGTAAGGAGAAGGAACCCAGGGCGAACGTACTCTATGGGGACGAACTTAGGGCAAACGGACCAAGGGCGAACCGACCCGATACCAAATTCAAGCATGCGTACTACAAAATCTACTTTAAAAACATCCGGTTACAAGTAAACAAATAACGTTCATGTAAGATGAGATGAAATCTAATAATTTACATAAATAAAGGGGTAGATATTAATACATTAAAACATGAGAAATTATAACACTAACGATAGTGATCGTTTTTCAAGCCTAACTTATAAATTAAATGATGCAGATGCTTAGATCATGTGTAAACATCGGTGTCAAGATATGGCACCGGAAGTTGTTATGAAATTGTAAAGCACAG